CCTACAATACAAGAAGTTGCAAGACGACCCGTGTTACACTGTGYAATTCTGCAACTWACTGGCTTGTGACGCAAAGCGAGATAAGTGGCTAAGAAAGTKTAATAGTGTCGTAGCACCTAAAGTTAACAACAACGAATAGAAATAAAAAAGGAAAGAACAACGGTCAGAACAAAAAACAAGTTCTTACCAAAGCTGGCTTCTGCTTGTCGGCGTTCACCACATCTAAATTGGGAGCACTGCTTCTTCGTTTGAATTTAGCTATCATCGACATTTTCACTTTAGAATATAAGTTCTGTTGACGTGTAAGAGGGAAAAGGCGCATTAGATACGTTGAATTTATTCTCAACTCATTTCAGATTGGCTGAATACTACCAGTCAATTCTCCATATCTTGACTACATTGTCCAACAACTTTTCATGTTGTACTCTGAATCTCCGCCCTCCATCTCTCCTCACAATGTATTGCTAGCATTGTTCTTTGTCAATTCGTATAACATGATAAATAAGATGGTCTCTTTATTTTTTTAGTGATGGAAAATCGCTTTACATAATTCTTTTGATCAAATGTTGTCCCATKAGCTTAAAGTGCAAGCACGAAAAGCATGGAAAAGTGTTTAAACCTACCATGACAAACTTTTGTGCTAAATTGTACTGAATACTCCAGTTTCGAGATCTTATTTGTGCAGTTTTAACCTCGAAAGCATGCAATATATTCTTTTATTCAACAGAGAATCTATTGTAGAGTGAACACACTTAATCCGTGCAACTGTACAAAATCTAAGTAGTATTACATTAATTTGTACTAAAAGTGGACCTGAAGCAAGACGGTATTGAATGCTTCATTTGCATCAACTCAATTTAATTTGCGTACCGCATGCACGATTTACTAAATACAACTAAAAAGCACTATTTAGTTTGTACAGTTGCACGGATTAGAGTACAAACATAAAATGTGTGCAACACTTTCCACTATTTACTACAAAATAAAGTTAATTAAAGAATAGAAAACAATAGAATTAGCATAATTTAGCAGTATTTAGTGGTATTTATGTTACACAGTTTTAGTGTTTGTACTCTAAGTGCGTTCACTCTAATGCAAACAAACTGTGAACAAAACAGACAATAAAACTTTATGCTTGATTGAAGCTAAGCTTGCACAACAGACAATGCGAAACTGGAGTATTATGCGATTCTCTCTGTTCTCTGTTGTCTAGAGGGAAGTCATTAAACCCGTGAAACAAAATTAGACTATTCAAGTGTGCGTGGTCACAAAACCAAAATATCTAAAGTCTGCTATTCTTTTTTTATAGTGCTCGCACTATAATGACTTCACGGCTCTGATGCAAAAGTTTATTGCAACCGACTATAAATATTACTGCAATTCTATTTAATTTGACCCGGAAGTGGATACCTTCCTTGAAGAACAAATAGCACAAATTATTAGCGGCTCTTACTGATAAAGCTCTAAGGGAGTTATTAAACCCGTGAAACTAAATTTGACATTAAAAGTGCGCTAGTCAAATAGACACTAAAGAAGACAATGCAATTAGAGTCAGTACTAAGGTGTATTAGTCTGATAGGCTATTTCACGTTTTTTTAACTCTACAATGACTAAAAATGTCTTTTTATTTTGTCAAGTTGTAATAGTTTTTAGCATATGCACAAAACTTTGAACAATAACAAATCCAGGATACTCTAACTGTCTACTGAGCTATAGTCTATTCGCGCACTGAGTGAAGCATACTTCTGGACTACGAGTTGATAGTCCATTCGTGGCTATATATAGCCTCATGGACTATCAACTCGTAGTCTACTCGCCCTAGTGACGATTGTTTATAGTCACGATAAAAATTCGATGTAATTAAAGACCGCCAAGATATCTCTAGTAGAATAGACATTCACGGGTTATGTGACTTCACGCTGGTAATTTTTATGTAACAGCTGGTACATTTGAGGATTGAAACGTTGAAGATATAACGGGCATAAATTAATCACTTAGCCCAAAGATGCACCGAGGTCAATAATCCGTTACGAAAAATTACTGACACGACAAAAATGTATTCAAATCGAAGTGAATGTAAAACCTAAACTTTCTATACTAAACGGTCTAATTACTCGACAACTGATAACACTAAATGTATTTTAGGGGAATTGCAGCTACTTATTTTTGTGGTAGTTCTTTTTTACGTTTCTGTGGTCGCATTATCCAAAGCTTTGAACGCGAAAGCTGTTATAAACAAGTAAATACTAACCTTCAAAGACCGTCTGATCATGAATTACGATCACAAGTTTGGAATAAATGTGGTTTAAAGTCACGCGATTGTACAAAATCTTTAAACTTAGTTAACACTTTGGTACGACCATAAACGTTTTAATGTTTTTTTTTAAGTACAAGTAGCTTCTGTAGCATACTGAAGTCACTTGGGTCTTAATTAACATTTCAAATACAAAGACGACTTTAACTCGTCTTTGACAATGTTGACTCGAAGTTTTTATCATCAGACGTACTCTCTGATAACGCACTAAATTGCTTTGTCGCCGAAAGTATAAGAAAGTATAAGAAACTGAAAGTCCTATAAATGATACCTCCGGGTATTAATCGTCAGTGCAATTAAGCTACAATAAATTTACCATAATAAAATTCGCTTTAAATGTTTCATTGCTTACCGACGTTAAACTTCGCTTAGATGAGCTTTAAGCTTTTCTTACAATTTGCACGAAAGGCCGTCTTCAAGAACGAACGATTGAAGTTAATCCATTTGCTCGATTTGCTTCCTTTTTTCAGTCAATGCCTACGCGTATGTCTGTCAGAAGTGATGGATGCTTGTAGACTGTTCGCGTAGTTTTCTTGCGTTACTACTGCGTTATAGCATGACAGACAGACCACTGGGAGATAGGAGTACATATATATTCATAGATGGATAAAAACAATAAACAATAAACAAAAAATAGATACCAAAAAATAGATACATAGGTGAATAAATAAATAAAAATAATAATAAACAGTTTTAGATATAGTGGACGCCCGCAATCCGTGAAATAAATTTTACTAATGCTACTAAATAGGGTCAAATAGACAATAGAAAACAAATGGAATAAGTGATAATTTAACACCTATTTAGCGATAATTTAACACCTGTTTTCCTATTTTTTTTTCGTATGCTATTTTTGTTTCACGGTTACAGTAAGTGCACTAGCTCTAAATCATTAGGACCGTGAAACAAAATTTGACTATTAAAATGAGATGGTCAAATAGACAAAATAACAAAGCGTCAATAGTAAAATATGTATTTCACGAGCTTTATGGCTCTAATCCGTGAAAGTACTTAAATCAGTAAACTGGAATGAGGAGCTAAATTTCATGTGTTTCCTAGTTCGGATCAATCAACTATTTAGTATTTTGATTAGTAATTTTTGTTTCACGGTTTAACTGCGCAATAATGTAATCATCAATTAAATAGTTATATTTCTCAACTTCGAAGACTCATTCTCTTCACAATAAAAGTAAAACATTCGTGGTGCCTCTATATTCGATCTATTCTAGATTGATGAAAGTTATTCCCTCCATAAGAATAAACAATTAATGAATATATCGATAAATAAATATCGAAGCAATATATAATTCCCGTCATTTCACAGTGATTTAATTAAAACGTTTAATTTCAAATTGTATTACAGAAAACTGCTTTATAGAAATAAGGATTAAGTCATATTAACGTTAAAATATACCTTTTTATTTCGGTAAGTGCGCGGCGGTCATTTTGGCAGGAGGCAAAATTAGGGTAAATCAATATCCAATTCACCGCAAACCAACCCGGAAACCAACTTTTGAACAGACGTATGGATCAAGATGGACAAGACTGCACAAGACTCTCTTTATGGCACCGTTTTGTTTGCTTTGTTCCCTCGACGCCTTTGCCTTGCTATTCAAGATGGTCAATGTAGTATATACACTTTACGGAAAAAACGTTGTCGGGTCGCAAAAAAGGGGATATCATCGAAACTAATTGGGGATTTGAAGTACTAAGAAATTTGGATAATATTTGCCTAAACATGTTACATCATAGATTAATACCCGTAGTACAGTGTATTTTATTCAGTGCAGATAATCTTGGCATAGAAAATATATTGATTTGCCATACTCCCTTTTAGTCAGCTTTGATGATGTAGCCTTGGTATCCGACTAGATGGTTTTTTTTTTCCAGATAGGTATATACAGTTTCATTCAATCAAGTCCATCTCTTTAATACCATATCTAAACAATCCAGCGCTTTTGTAGTGATGATCTTTTGCATATTTTTACCCCCTGCGAATGCAGGCCGCCCGCGTAACGTAGTAGATAGTCAATAGGCCAGTTAAAGGAGAGCTAGAAATATGATCCAAAAAGCAAAATGAAAAACGGTTCCTTTTTCTTCCGACTCAGCTGAATATGCAAACAAAGTGAAAAGCAAAACTTTGTAAGGGAAATCGGAAGCGAAAAGCTTTTAGTGATCGATAGCATCTTCCCCACGGCCTGTGCACAGTGTGACCTCAGCCATTTTAATTGTCAACGAGAAACGATGCCCATTTGTGCAAAAAAAGCATAATGTGAATGTGGTCCGCGCACTTTTTAATGTTCGCGATAATCACGAACAATCCCAATTGTCGAGAAGAGAACACGAAACGGACTTGGCGGACAATCTTTTTTAAAGAACAAAAATGCGCGAGGACTACGCTTCCCGTCATGCRTTGCTCGAGWAAATTASGTCGCCGCACACAGAAGCTACAATCTTCGAGRAAATGGTTGACGAATATCAGGCATATATTGCTGTTTACGTAGGTTCGTGTTGATGCAGTTTAAATTGAGTACCCCTCCCMCTGATTCAGTGTTAAAATATTTTGTGGGTTGTCTATTAGCCCTCCTGTAAGGCAGGAAGGCCGGGGTTGGGGCGGGGGGTGGATAGAAACAATTTTCAAGCATTTCTATTATCTGATAATAGTCTAACAAAGAACGGATGCATATTACAGATAGCGCTATCAAATGTATTTAAAAATAGATCTAATCTATAAAATTGTTCACATATCTAAGAAAATATAATCTATATTTCTTATGAAAATATAATCTGTATATCTAATTTTCACAATGGGATATCAAAAATATAACACGAGCTTTAATTGGCTGATGAATTCAGCCTTCTAACGACTGAGGTATATAGTTTGTGCTATGATCCTTGATCCCAAAATAACGACAATTTAGACTTGCAATCCTTGCTAATCATGAATAACTTTTGGATAACGATTCTTAAACATTGATCCCGATTCCAAATTGAAAACTCTGATCTTTAAGCCCTAACAAAATGACTAAAATGTGATCCCTGATCCCCAAATTGAGACTGATCCAAGATCCTATATACCTCGTCAATAGGCTGATGAATTGTTTGGTTTTTGTCATCACGCCACAACTACTATATATCGTTTTAAAAAGTACAAAATATCATTACATGGGCATTTGTGTCTCTGGGCACAAAACTAAACTAATGGAGTAAAATCTCGCGTCAGATTCGATTGACTATGCCGCAAATTGTTCACCACTGTTTTTGACACAATTTGTCAAAATGGTTTCATACAACCTAATCATAGCGAAATAGGACGTTTAAGGCTGGTTCCATACAATCGTTACAATCGCTTGGATCGCCACGATCGCCGAAATGTGGCTCAACGATTTTAGCCGGCAGCGATCATATGGAAACACGGCGATCTTGGTGATCTTAGCGATCTCGATAGCTGGAATCGCTCAGCACGGCGATCCTGACGATCGTGGCGATTCCAGACTTTATCAATCAGTTCTTGTGAGTTAACGTATTTCTTTTTACTAAATACAAATGCTCTATTTCTCTATGACGGTTTTGTAATAAGATGTCCATGGTAAGGAGATTCTCATTGTGATTATATCAAACGATCAAAGACACGCTTTTTTCCCAGAACTCTTTGCGAGCACGCATTCGCTACTCTTATAGATTATCATATTTTTTACAGTTTGGGAGAGAAATAGAAGTCTWAACMGCTCAGCTATGTTCAACATAGAACCTGGACCGTCAAGACSTGAAAGAACTAATAAAAATCACAGGTAGTCCAAAATTTATAATCGTAAACTATAGATTTCAGAATATAAACCGAATTTAGTGAAATTCTAACAGCATTTTGAGCGTTTTCATTGATACTCCAACAAAGATAAAGCCGATTTCGTCTCATATATACGTACTATACTACACTCAGTTTGCTGAAGAAGGCCGAAGTGCCGAAACGTTCTAATAAAGAGTAGGAATAATAGTTGCAAGTTGCGTGCCTTTTTCTTCAATTTATTCAATTTACGTACTATACTTCATATATACTCAAGTGTTTGGATTAATAAGCTTTTCACTTAGTGATGTTTTGAAGTTGTTTAAAAAACCCTGCATCGTATATGTATTTATGTCCATCATCATGCATCCCAATCCCCAATCTCGTTCCCAGTGTCCTCACTTTTGCCATCTAGCAGAAGGCAATGTGTCGGCAGACGCTGGGCTTGAGATTGCCCAATACCCTGATACATTTCTCGATAATTTGTTTTTGCTACTACACCTCTGCGCATTTTTTTTGTTATTCTCTTTGGAGACTTATAAAACAAAGGGTGGGCAATGCATTCTGGTATAGTTGTAGTATGTGACGTCATCGTCAGCTCTATGAAATACTTCATATCAGAACTTAACGATTCAATAATATCCCGGCGATGCATGATTGATGGTTGTCTTCATGAACGCCTGGCAAAGTAGTCGCGTTCRGTATCCGTCTTCACTCGACGTATCGGTACAGCTGGTTTACGAGGAGGTAATGCTTGTTCCGCAGAGAAATTAGTTGGGGTTGTCGTTCGCCTTGGTGCAACTAATGAACAAATATATCATTACAGACATGTGAATATTAGATACTTCACTATCCTAGACAGGCGCGCAGCTGAACATACAGTTCCATATCTTACGGAAAATATAAAAAAAAAATGATACGAAAACGCAACTGTTGTGGATGTTAAGCTGTCAGATACGAAAAACTGCAAAACGCAAAAAAATCCTGTAGATGTCGCTAAAAACCGTGAAAAATTCGGTAACGTACTCCTAAGCCTGGCATAGAAAAACGCTTAGTTTCTTAAACGTATAGTATATTCTCATTAGCCCTCGTCCATGCCCTGATACTTCAACCTTGCCAGACAAATAAAAGATTCTGATAGAATCACTTCGTTGTTGTTTTGATCCTCATTCCAAAGCTACCATTCTAAGCCCAATAGTATGATCCCCGAGCCTACACATAAAGCTGATCAATGATCCCACATATATGTTACTACCCTGTCAATAACGTAACCTAATTATGTACCTTTAGGTGGGAGATTTTGATAGCTATGCCCATGCGATACCCCTGGTTTAGGACTTGATGACAATTGTGAACCTTTCGAGAAATAATTTTCATATCCCGTTGGGTTGTTGGTGTAGTTCTCATATCCTGGACCATGTACTGGATGCCTGTGATATATAAGCATCATAAATAATGAATTGTTTATGCTACATCTATGAGTCAACGACAGTGAGATTCCTCAGTATAAAACTAATTAGTCAATTTTGGAAATTYGCAAAGTGGTCGCTTAACAGAGGGTGCACAGTGGATACAGTGTGGACAGAGAATCRGGAATTTTTGCRGTGGTCGCCTTACAGAGGGTGACTGTCTAACAGAGAAAACACTGTTACAATCATTTCTTCATTTTTAATGGGAAACTGAAATAAAACTTAATAAATAACATTAAAAAGTACCTTTCTGGTATTGGTGGACCTTGCGAAGATCTGTCTGGAACATTCTGGTAACTACCTCTGCAAAACATTAATGATGATCATGGTTGTCTTTCAGAGACATGTGGGAAAGTTTCAATGCCATAAATAAGAATATAGACAACTCAGCACCAGAAATAACATAAGAAAGATGACTTTTTTATTGCTTTTCTTAAATATGAATTACCTTTGTGGAATTGGCGGACTCCGTGATGACCTATCAGAAACATTCTGGTAACTGCTTCTGGATGGTCTAGGTGAAGTTCTTGGTGGTGTATTTTCATAGCTTCTTGCTTGTGGCAGTGAATGGGATTTTCCAGGCATGTTTTCATATCCCTGGCCACTGCCTGGGGGAACTCGAGGAGGAATGGGTGGGGCTGATGAGTCACTAGGAGACRGTAGTGTTCCTGGAAAGAAGGACGAACAATGAAATTGTCAGACAATCAAAAATTTCTCTTCTGCTCTTCTCTACTATTATGCACTTATCAATCAAAATAAATATTAAAATAATCATAAATTATATTCAATGATCATATTAAAAGTAACTTTCATTTTTAACTCGGAGATTGCGATAGCAATCGTAGAGTTATTGGGAGGGGACAAGCTGTCACTCGCTCGCTCGCTCGATCGATCACTTTCCTGTAAACTTGATTAGTAAAAATTGCTAACTTAGCAAAACAAGTACAAAAATGTTGTCAATATTTAATGATAACTAATAATCATTAATAAAAACAACTAATCAATAATGATAAATAATATAATGATAACAATAAACTAATAAGTACCCTTAATGGTAAGCATACTGTACCTTTTTCAGGGATATTTTCATAGCCAATGTACCTTTGTCTTGTAGGTGGAGTGTGATGTTGAGGAGGACCTTGCAAAAAGAATCAGAATTTCATGAGTGATTCACTTAAACATTCTGATTAGTWGATTAATTTATCAACTGCCATTTTGAATTTTGAATCAAGAGCAAGCTCTAACAGACTTGGTGCCCAAAGGGGTATTTTTTTTTGCGAGTGAGGAACGAACGACAGAAGATTACCCCTGGGTTTCCAAGGATGCCAGACATAGCATCTTACAAACAATTTATAAGTATTTCATAAATTAATAATGGTCACAAAATATATGAACAACTTTTGGGAAGTAATCAACTGGCCGTACTGTAGAAGGTACATGTAGATGTACAGACCAACAAGACTTCCACAAACTCTTGGCCTAGTAATAAGATAAGATAAAGCATACAGTATTGTACCTCTTTGTGGTCTGTTTAAGTTTTCATACGACTGAGGACCAAAGTCCTTTCTGCTTGGAACTGGTGGTGTTCTGTTCCCTATAATACATTCAAAACATCACATCATTATACTTTACCTATMTAAAGGCCTGTTCACACTCACGACTTTTGCAGCACAATTGTCGCGCAACAATAAACCCTTTTAGCGATCTCTTTTATGCTGTGTTAGCCTCAAAACCATGCAATAAATTCTTTTATTCACAACAGCCCGTGCAAATGCAAGAGATYTGTGAGTATAGAAGACAATGGAAATAGCTTAAAATCTCTACATTTCTGAATATTTTAGCACACAATTGAGGCTAACACAGCGTAAAAGAGATCGCGAAACTCGACTATTGCCTGAGTTTCGAACAGTGTAAACAGTATAATGAAGGCTGACAAGCTCTTTCCAGCTTTATAGCTATGTATTAAGTAAAATATTGTGAAATTTGATACTGTTGAAATAATTTTCATACTGTTGCAAAAGGGAGTAATATCCCTGGAGTATGAAATATCAGCATTGTTTTTATATTTACCATTTTGATAAGGGTTAGTGTGCCTGTGCATTTCAGGTTCTACTTGCAAACATCCTAAAGAAAGTATCASATCACAATCAGTCTGATGCAGTCYATTTTGTATTCATTTCTATAATAATTTAAAGAAAAAAGTTGATACTGGATACTGCATATTATAGTGCATTCCAAGACCCCAATGCATTCAGTTACAATTATGACAACTCTAAAACTTTGACWTTCTTTTTATTATAGTTTTGAACTGTATGGAGCTGGTACAGCCACTCATTAAAAACTGCTTTTGAACGGCAATAGGACAACCCACAWTGCACTTTGGTCTCGGAATATTTTATCCAGTACTATATTCAGTTAATTCAACATTTTCATAAATAAATATATTAAGTGTATCACAGAAAAATGACTTTCAAAGAATACAATCATGTTCTTCAAACCTTCGTCCATTCTTAAATACATTTCACCATCATCACAATGTTCTGGTGCATCCATTTCTTCATACGGTCGCTGTTCTATGGTCATACTATTCATTCTACTGCAAACTAAGAAGTGAGAATAACTTTAGCTTACTGCAAGAACTAATGCATGAACAGCKGAGAACCTCACAGGCAGCCCATCCCTTGCAAGCACTTTGTTTTGTTTGTGGATTACCTGTGGCACTATGTCATGATCACATGGTGACACAGGAAATCCACATGTTAAAAAAGTGTGCGCTTTGCATTTTTCTATTCTACTGTTTTTGAAATTTGTTGAATTTTGTTTTTGAGTATGCCAGGGGTGAGCTGTCGTGGATTGACGTACATGTACTGTGTTGTAAAATTTTATTTAGTTTTTCTTTTCTTCTAACACTCCTGGACCACATAATGGACAGAATACAATGTTGTATCTAGAATATACTGTCAATAATAAATTCTATTTATTATATAAATAAATTAGTTTGTTTTGCTACAGTTCTTACCTCTTTCTGGATCATATGGCACTAATGCAATATCTTTCTTTTGACTTTTCACAAAGAACTCAGTTAACTCTAAGAGCGTGTCGAATTGAAAGCGCTGCAAAAATAGTAACAAAAGGAAATAAACATGAGAATTCAAAAAGAAACAAATATGAAATTTAGATTTGAGAATCGTTTAAATTTATAATGAATGGATGCTTGAATGAATAAACAAATGAAAAGAGAAAATGAGAGTTGAATGGACGGGTAGAGAATGGGATAGAAATAATAGCCAGTCAATGGATGATTGAGTGAATGGAGTGAGGAATATTCAATTCCTTGAATGGAAAAAGATTGCATGATAAATAAATGAAATTTGAAGTAATGAATAGAAAATGGAATTGAGATTTCAGTGAATGGAAAGAGGAATAACGATTTTAGAATATATTGATTGATGATAAACAGGGAGATAATCTATCTTTAGAATTATATTGATTAATTGACAAGGAACAGCAATGCTCACCTCATAACCAGCTATGATAAGTTTGTTTGTGGATGGGTGAGTGTCTATCTTGTGGTGTTTAAGACCCACTTTATGCCTTAAAAATAAAAAAAAATGATGCACTTTTAAATGGAATATCCTATCCATTCCATTCCATTCAAGCCATTAAAATATATATCTTTGAGATACTCCAGACTTCCCTCAACTTAGTCAATGTAACCATAAGCTTTTCATCACACAAGAAAAATGTGAATGACTTATTTTAATAAAAGACTCTCAGCAGGAGCCTGGAGTAACTGATTTGTTATCAATAAAAAAAGCCCCAATTCAATAATCAAATACTATACAATACATGTACTACTAACAATATGTACTCTGCTATATTGCTGCTACCAGCTCTGCTTCTACTGGTTGTTGCTTTTCCTGTTCAGGGCCCTCAATAATAGGTGGCTAATGGCTGAATAGTGCCTGTTATTTTGTGTCTTAATTAATATGTTGATTGTAAATTATTTGGGACACAGTCACTTACATACCTGTGACTCAGAGACTTAATATACAAAAAGATAATGAAACCCATATTGCTTTCATATCTACATCTACTAGGCTAAGCATAGCTGCTCTTCTACCAGTGATGATAATCATAATTTCCACTGCTATTATTACTGCAGTGAGTACTGCTAATTACTACTGAACTCATACATCCACTGGTCACAATAATACTGACAGTACTTCTGATCAATATTTTGTACCTTAAAGACAATGTATAGCAACCAGAGGATGCTGCACTTTCTCTGTCTCTTACTAAAAAAGTCCCAACAGGTTCTTTGTATAGAATATCCTCAGCTCCATCTCTGTTGATGCCTTTGACATAAAACCTGTCACAAATTAATTTGATAATTAAATGTTGATTTAGAGAAAGCTGAATAAGGTAAAGGGAAAGGGAATTTGAGAGGAAAGAAAGCTTTTTGAAGGTATTTAACCAGTGGTGGATCCAAGGGGGTTCCTATGAACCCCCCTCAAGCATAAAAAAAAAAATAAATGGTAAATGAAATAAAATGAAAACGCATCGTACAATGAATTTTTATTAAATACATTCACGCTACATTTGCTACAGTTCGAAAGGCACAGTGAAAAAGTTCGTTTTAGGAAAATGCAAAAACAAAGTGGACCCCCCTTTTGAAAAACCCTGGCCCCGCCACTGTTAACAAGACTTTGCAGGAAATGTCTTACTTCACTAAGTGAAATAAACCTCAAAATACATTTTTTAGGAAGGCTACTGACTCCTTACTTGGGTAAATCAACTTGTTGTGGTGCTGGTTGTGGAGGTAGTGGCCGTGTTGTTTCAGACTTTCTTCTTTCCTTTGAATAAAAAACATAAATGTAGATTCATTTTCAAGAATAGTCTCACTAGTTTTCAAACAAGAAGCTTTTGTACACTCAACTTGCTGCTTGAAGGTACATTTTACATCTACAATATTATTATAATAAAGCATTTTTCCTGTGTAAGTTTGGTTATCTATATTTAATAATATTGCTCCATTTACTCTGGAAGAACATGCATCATGGCAGTATAGAAGTTCAAGGGGACTTAATTACAGCTCTGTATATTTCTCTTTCATCCCATTTTTCTATCATGCTTTTAAAACTAATCATACCAATTTTTCCAATAGCAATACACTTTTAAGTGTTTTTTTTTTTAGTGATTAAAATCACTACTTGATCCCCTCGCAATAAATGTCAATGTCATCTACTATTAATAAAAGTTAAGCATTATGAATACCGCATTCTTTTTGGCCCCAAATCCTGAGAATGATAAAATCGGTGCACTGTCTCTATGGATAAGCCTTCTTGCTTTGTTCATTGTTATATGTTGGTATTATCCCATTGAAAGTGACCTAAAAGAATACAACTCATCAATATTGCATTGTTGATCATGTAATATACAGATTAATATAGTTAATCAAATTTGGCAAACCCTATACTACTGTATGAGGGGGCGTAGGGGGGTCTGGATACCATAATTCCAAACAAATATAGAGTAATTACAGAATTATACCACAACAAATTTTTTTGGATGCTGACCAATGTCAAAAAAAGTGTGAAAGCCATAGATTAATAATGACATCATGTTGACGTCATATGACRTCACAACGACAATTTGGTAATCCTTATATTGCAGGCACTGCGAAGCATAATTTTTATTGGGGGAGGGAAAGGGGGGCTAAATCGGAATGGGACAACTTTCGAGGAGGGACAGATGAATTGGAACGAATGTTTTCAAATTAGCGGCCAAAATATTGTGGTGCTGAGCCTCCCCAAGCAACACTGGTTCCGCAGCGCTTGTATTGGTCAAAGGAATGACAAGCACTGTTGACATCAGTGAAAGTTGCATTCACCCCACTCCTTTTTTACCGAATACTGAACCCTAAAATATATTACATGTACTTCTCACCATGTATTATTTAAGTACAGCATATTCAAATACAAAATTACCTTTTATTTAATACTGTAACCTCTACCTATATTATGGAGGGTAATATATGCTTTTGACAGCAAATGACAGAAAGTTTTCAGTGATATCAGAAACTATGTACTAGATATAGTCAGATCTACATGATATATTGTAAACTACTAAATAAAATATCATCTCTCAATCATATTAGATTCGGATTATTCAGATAACAATGCAATATAAATAAATAACGCAACACACACACACATATATATATAATATATAGACACTGACGATTTACAAGTACAGAGACACATAAACAAACCAATTGAGACAAAAACAATTCACCAAATGTGTCTAATATTATAATAGTCACATCTGCTGAGCGAATAAGTTGTGAATTCAAATGTATCCAGGGAAGACTTAACACTGAACGTACCTAAGCAAATAATTGAAACATTTCTATTCTAAAGCTAGTTTGAACTTTGATATTTATAAACATATTGATCATAAAACATTCAGAAGACAATAAAATGTAATAATTTAATAACTTATTATAGTTTTATCAGAGTTATCAAGTGATATTTATAATAATAATATTAATAATATTAATTAATATTTATAATAATAATAATGGTCTTTTCAACTCTTCACATTACAGGAAAGAATCTAGCTCAATGCATATTTCAAGGGCTGCATGTTCAAACAAATATCACGAAACGTAACAAGTGTTTAAGCACAAAGAACAGCTCAGCTTCTTGCGCATATTAAACTTGTTAATTAGATTGTCCAAGGTGTATTATTTCATAAGATTTAGACTGTCAAGTTTTCACCTTGAAGACAAAGATTGCTAGCAAGTCAATTTGGAGAAGACAAATGGCAATTGCCAATAATTACGACATACAGAGGATCACATAACTTAAATAAGACGGAAGTTACAATTTTATTTGATTATGCGATGGTTCATTTGCATGCGAAAAAACCTTCAAAGATCCAAAGGGAAAAAAACTAGTTTTATAGACAACGACAACTACAAGGATTTAGAGGAATTAGAGTAGTTCATGACCTTTGRAGCTTCACTTTCCAATTCGGACATGCAAAGCCAGAAACCAAATATAATGTCAGCTCGATTCAGCATTTCACCATCGTAAAAGGTTTCAACAGTTTTATATCACACAAAAGCTTACCTAGTATCTGAAGAGGAAGTTTTGAAGTGTCGATCTTTTAATTTTTGGCAAATAAACACAGTTTTTGATTTGATGCGCTGGACGGCTCGGTGGAGGAGACTTATGGCAACTGTTGAAACCGGAACTTGAGAAATACACAGCGATCCCGGACTAGGATAATATGACGTCAACAGGAAGTAACAAATAACAGCAGGACCGGAAGGGTGGTAGAGTGTTTCTGTTGTTTAGTTAGAGTTATTTATAGTAAAAAATAGCGAAAAGAGCTGCTCACGTTTAATGTGATTCATTAAAACGGTATTTTGTCGTTTTTGGTTATTACATTGCTTAAGGTGAATGTTTTTTAGTTTCTGTGCCAGACTTATTGGTTGGCTATTTGTGGACTTAGCCGATTCATCTTCAGATTTTGAAGTTCATTTGTTTTAACTGGGATTTTACTAGAAAAGTCGATAAATATGCAGCCCATTGAGTTTCCATTATTTTATTTTAATATTTGTTCATCTTGTAACAGTGAGGCTGGATATAGCATTTTTCTTAGAGTGGTACGAGGTCTATGTTCTTTATGTGCATTCATAAAAGTACCACAATTCCAGGAAAGTTCAATGTCTCCCTCATTATTGCATTCCTCCATGTAAATGATTTTTGTGTCACTCCAAGCAATCCATCCGTTTTGTTTCTTTTTTTTTATTTCTTTGCATTGTATGTTAGGTGTGCTGCATTCATAGGATTATCAGGTGATTTCATCCAGTCCTTTTTAAGCATTTGTTTCAGCTGTGATAGCCTTAAGTTTGGATTTTCTTGCTTCAATCTGGGTAATTCTCTTTCTTCAAACTCCAAAAATGCMGCTTTCATTCTTTTTTCAGGATGACGTTCTACCTTAGGTTCTACAGATAAAGTAGCAATGGCATCCTCTACACTTCTTGCTTCRACAGCACCTTCTTCAGCCAATAAYTCTGCCATTCTTTGATTGGGGTTTTSTTCTAGTGGTTCATCATGTATTGTTTTTTGCTGTTCTTTCARTTGGTCATTCTTTGCTATGGTCTCTTTTTTCTCTTTTTCTGTAGCAATTTGAGCTCGAGTAACTTTTTGGGTTGGCTGGGCTTTAGTTTTTCCCTTTAACGCCTGTTCTTCTTGTTCTAAAAGYAGCTTAGCCTCACTTTTTTTCTCCAGTGAYTCAAGTCGTTTTTGGTCCTTTGCTTCCTACAAAAATAATGTTWTGAGTGAAGGCAATTTGAAWRTGAAAATAAAAGAAACATGCAAAATGAATAAGTAAAGAAATGAGAGAAAAAATAGACGTGAACATAGCAGTCCTTAGCATATAATTATGACGTCAAAAAATGTTTGAAAAGGAAAATAGAACAACAGTTCTAAACGTGCAATCTTTGGTTAAATGGATTGCACCACAATGAGTAAGCTTACTTGGCCTTGGATTTAGCCAATATTTTATAGCATTTTGCTCAGAAAGCAGTGTTTTCTTCTCCTTTCAGGATCCTCTATATAAAACTATTTTATGAATTACTTCATTTATATTTTACAAATATTGTATCACAACTTATAGCCTACCTTTCGTTGCTGTTTTCGCGTGACATGCTTGTCGTTGTCCTCCCAAAGTTTGTCCTCTGCCTCTCTCTCTTTCCTGTCCTTTTCAGCAGCTTTTGCGTCTGCTTTGCGGGCACGAGCCRCCTCAGCTTTTGTATTCACCCCTTTGAATTTCTTAGGCATATTTCAAAGGAATATTTTGCCAAAGCTGAAAGATTATCAACGAAAACATAAAAAATGTCAGAAGAAAACAACCGTAGACTCAGCTGAATGGCCTAGACCGCGGGAAACTGGTTACTATGAATAAATTATCCGCTTTACTTTCAAAGAGAAAAATAGAAATATTTAAAACAACTTTTCTCTAATACCTTTTTTAAATAAAGTTTAAGAATATATATTGAATTGTATATGGCGCAATCGTGAATGTTTTTTTACCTTTTGTTGATGTTGAAAACTTTTTTCTTTGGTTGGGATACCTTTTCTTTTTTAGTAAGGGAGGGGAGGGTTGGAATTGAATGAAAACATTCCAAAATGGCGGCAGGAAGTRCAGGGTCTTCTGCAGCCTTGCCAAACTTTAGGTACATAAAAWCTATCACAAGGGACTTGCTTGTAGACCTTTTGGAATCGGTAAGCTATGCAATTCAGTTWAGACTGCAGATTATGTAATTCAGATGCAATTAAATGTTTTTAAAAAAGCATTTGATATTTGAAACCTTGATATTGCAGAAAAACATTAAGCTTATTAACTTAAGGTATATTATTTTACGTTAAGCTTATATTATAAAAATAATATAACGTTTTGCTGCAATGTCAAGGTTTCATGGCTTTTTAAACACCTTGGAAATAAGATGTAAGCTTTATAATTCCTTTTTCCATCAACGTAGGAGAAAATTTAACATATGATATGAATGGAGTAAAACAAAGATTTTTACTCCCGAGGAGTTTATTCTATAACACTGATAGTCTGGCTGTTTTTGCTSTTGACTCTGATACTCTTATTCATTCATTGCATTTTGTTATTATTCATTTATTCATATTTTCATTCATTCTTTGATTTAATTAGTTATTCTAGTTCAATGTTAATTGCATGCTTTTATTTTCCTTTAGTTTCCTGGTAAGAAAGATCTTGTTATTGATCCAAAGTTGATGAAACCACTGGACCATATTGCTGGAGCAACATTTCTTAAAGTACAGTACCTTTGTTTTATCATACTTTGTCGTCTGGTGAAGGTTGTGCATATATATGCACTATCTACTGGATACAGCCTTTTGCAAAAATTATGAGAATTGTTGAAATATCTAAATATCATAATATCAAGTGCATGATCCCGCGCGATGCCCTTAGTCCCTTGTCTTTGTTGTTTAGGTTTTTTTGGCGACGTACTTATCCGTAGTTCTGAACATTTTCTCGATGTAAACAATGAATTATTCTAGCAAACCCGCGTGTTCCGGACAATATATGGATATGGATATTATGATATTTAGATATTTAAACAATTCTCATAATTTTTGCAAAAGGCTGTAAATCCTTATAATATGCATATATTATTTATCATGTGATAAGACATGAATAAACATAGTATGTTTGCAGGAACATGGAATTGATAAAATATTCAAACTGGAACATGGRAAATTAGATATTGGTTCTAATAGGTAAATAATTGTAGAAACAAGGCATACGYCTATTAGATTTCCCTGCAAAACATTATGACACCTCATTCTGCTGATCTTTTCTTCCTTTCTTCTCTCCAGGCTTTCTTAAATTCATTTTACACTCCTTAGCCCCCTCCAACCTACATGTACAATTGTAGCCTCCTCCACAGACATCACTGGCTTGTGGTCTCTTTGGGGAGTCAAAAGAGGGAGAATTTTCCTTTTTCGTTACTAGTCCCTAGCGGCTAAGATGACCATTACAAAGGAAGCCCAAAGGAGAAAAGAAGAGTTGTCTGTGGAGGAGGCTACCTCCAACGCACTCTACAACCCTTGCACAAGATACCCTACCACACCCCTTCCTATTCCCCAATCCCCAGTCTGAGGGTCAGATTTTTAGACAAGTACTGCTTGTTGAACTCTCTAAAAGTATGCATATAATTTATAGTTGACAATGACTAGACATCCAATCAGCCCTTAGTAACAAGATGTGCTTTTACTATAGGCGTATTTACCTTCTAAGACCAAGGATGGTGCTGACCAAATTTGTAGCTGGTAACTATAGCAACCTTCATGTGACATCACATTATATTTGTGTGTTTACGACAGTTTTTTTAAGCATGTGTTTTGCTATGCTTCAGATCAAATCAATAATGATAAAAATAGTCAGACATCAAGGGAATACAAAGTAGTCTTTGTACCACGAAAGGTAATATTTTATTTGAAATTGGGTAGTTCCAGAAAATATCCGTACCNAACTTACAATGTGCCATGGTTATATCTTGCAGATGTTACTGTAGATGAGTTTACATTTGATATTATTCCACTGGACAAAGATTTATTGTCAATGGAGCTACCAGAATTCTACAAAGACTTCTTCCTTGTAATGACAAATTTACTAAACATTTAATAAAACATTCAAGTTTTTTTAATTTGCAATATTAACAATTCTTTGTTACTAAGAATATGAAAAAAATGTTGTGAGCAAACCTCTTAGGTTTCTTTATGTTGCCTTTCTACCAGAAGATCACATTACAGCAGTTATGTTTTGCAAATTCCATAAGTTTGAAGCATTATGCTTGTTTCAGGATGGTGACCAGTGCTGGTTGTACTCTGTTGCTAAGGCTTTGATGATCGTCCAATCAATGTATGGTACTATACCACAAGTCTATGGCCTTGGACGAACTGCTAAGGTGACTGCTTATAAAAACAATTCATCTCGGTAATAAATTACTAAAACCATCACAGCTCTGTAACCATCTTGAAACTAAGGTACATGTAGCTATGCACATATATTGAAGCGAGACTGGTGAATTTACAAAAGATATTATACAGTTACCATAGTGCTGTTAATAATATTGAAAGCAGGTTTCTATCATTGCACACTCATCTAGTGTTATCTTGCTTTGATGCAATGGGGTTGCTACATGTCAAGATGACACAGATCATGACTGACAATGTTGAGAGACTATATTTTTATTACATTTAATAGTTCTTTCTGGATAAGAAGTAAAGTGTCTTAAGCCTAGAGTGTCATACATGTATCCTGGTCTGTGAAAGGCTAAGCATCATCATCTCCTGAGTTCTTTTTTTTTTCAAATCAAGAATAGTTTTGCTTAAGATGTTGTGTTGGTTTTTGTGTAGATGGTRATGGAGATTATGGAAGACTTAGTGAAAGAAGAAGGAGAATACAAACCWGTTGATGGACCTGAGATTGGTGGTCTTATTATTATAGACAGAGGTAAATTTATACCAGCTGAGATCCACTGTGAATCAACATTGAAAAAAACATGTAATATTTTATATTGCTGTTTCCCATTTTTATCTTCATTCCTTGACGATGCTGTAGACAGCGAAAGCTTGGAATCACATCAGTATTAAGATCTTACTAATAGCAGCCAAGTCTTCCCATAAAAACACAGTGTTATGATTTTAAGAACCTAGAATGTTTGAGATCAGGCTCAGCATTGTCTGCTYACCTTTGTCTGTACAGTGGGGTAATATTATAAATCATGTGATTCAGATGTGGACCATATTACACCATTTTGTTCACAAGTTACATATGAAGGACTTTTAGACGATACATTTGGAATAAGAAGTGGTAAGAGTGTAGCACAAATTAATGCTAAATTCTTGTTTTCTATTAAATATTTACCACTTGTATTATAAAACAACTTTGCACTTTTAGTGCTGTTCCATAATTTTTAGAAAGTTTCACTTTCTTTGCATGTTTAATAGCATCATTTCTTGGACAAAAGCTTAGGTTATTTATAATATTGATTCATGAACGTTTTTAAGAGTCAATATTTATAATGAATCTTCAATTACAGGGTTTATAGAGTTTGGCTCRGAGGTTACAGGAAAAGATCAGTCGGTTAAATTATTGCTGAGTTCAAGTGATGAGGTGATTGCAGTCTTTATGTTCACATGTTGGCTTCTCTCCGAATTCATTCTGACTTTCATATTCCTTTGTGGAGGCTCAAGGCATTCATATGACAAGTCATTTGTACACTTGCTTAAGGTTGATTAAGTCACATTGTTTATTGTTGATACACAGATGAATTTAATCAATGAAAATATAACTAGCATCTTCTTCTTAGGTTTTCAGTGACATAAGAGATCGTCACTTTTCAAATGTGTTTGGTTATCTCAGTCAAAAAGCAAAAAGGTTGCAATCTGGATATGATGTAAGTATATAAAAGCAAACTTGAAATGCCACAAAATAGCTGAAGATGTAGGTAATAGTCTTGCTACACATTTCCCAGGAATAACTTAAAACTAAAAGGTAGCTGCATGTGGCTTTGCATTGAGAGACAACTGTCTGGTGAACTTGTAGTGATAATCCCTTGTATTCAGGGTGGGGCTGATCACTGTAAATTTTATTTATGGGAGTCCCCCTCCCCCAGTTGTTGTGCTTCAATACTCAGGAGCAGTTACATTTCAAGATTGCATATAAAACTATTCTCAATACATTCTTGCCTTTTTAATAACAGACAGTTGTGTTTTTTTCATCAGATATATTCATCATCATTTTTTTGTTCATTTTATTTGTATTTCAGAAACGACATGAATTGTCATCTGTAAGTGACATGAAGAATTTTGTCTCAACTGAGCTCAAAGACCTGAGACAGCAACATAAATCTCTTGCAATACGTATGTACAATGTCACAAGAATGTTGTATTACCTTGCAACTTGATGATAGACTAGTATTAATATACTTCAGTATCCAAAAGATGACTGCCATATTGAAGCCCCTAAAAATGTAANCAATGAAAATATAACTAGCATCTTCTTCTTAGGTTTTCAGTGACATAAGAGATCGTCACTTTTCAAATGTGTTTGGTTATCTCAGTCAAAAAGCAAAAAGGTTGCAATCTGGATATGATGTAAGTATATAAAAGCAAACTTGAAATGCCACAAAATAGCTGAAGATGTAGGTAATAGTCTTGCTACACATTTCCCAGGAATAACTTAAAACTAAAAGGTAGCTGCATGTGGCTTTGCATTGAGAGACAACTGTCTGGTGAACTTGTAGTGATAATCCCTTGTATTCAGGGTGGGGCTGATCACTGTAAATTTTATTTATGGGAGTCCCCCTCCCCCAGTTGTTGTGCTTCAATACTCAGGAGCAGTTACATTTCAAGATTGCATATAAAACTATTCTCAATACATTCTTGCCTTTTTAATAACAGACAGTTGTGTTTTTTTCATCAGATATATTCATCATCATTTTTTTGTTCATTTTATTTGTATTTCAGAAACGACATGAATTGTCATCTGTAAGTGACATGAAGAATTTTGTCTCAACTGAGCTCAAAGACCTGAGACAGCAACATAAATCTCTTGCAATACGTATGTACAATGTCACAAGAATGTTGTATTACCTTGCAACTTGATGATAGACTAGTATTAATATACTTCAGTATCCAAAAGATGACTGCCATATTGAAGCCCCTAAAAATGTAAAACGAGTGAAAATATTTTACAATCATTTCTATTTTTATAAACTCCTTCTATTTTATAGCATCAAATTTGTGCTGGATAATCACAAACTTTTACCCTTCTGGAAACTAGAATCCATTGTTTTGTCATCCAAATGAGGGGGCATTCCCATGAACTGCAAGTAGGGGTCCAATGAATAGTACTTCATGTATATAATTTTTCATTCTTTTATATTTCAGATATTGGTGCATGTGAAGTAGTGTTAAAAAAGAAGGCAGCTGAGGATTTTGAAAGGCAGCTTCAAACAGAGCACAGTGAGTGATTTGTGTAGCAAATTGACTGGTAGCGAATTGACTGGTAGCGAATTGACTGGTAGCGAATTGACT